GAGGGCCCGGTCGCGCTGTTAAAGCGTCCAGCGCTGATCGGGCCCCCTCTCAATCCACATCCACAGCATGGGCCACCCGATGGACCCCTTGGACAGCGGCCCCGGCAGTTTGCCACGCGGGCCGGGGCTGCAAATGATGACGGCGGTACCCGGTCGCAGGGGTACTGCCGGCTCGCACTCGCCCTCCCGCCCACCCAATCTCTGAAATCCCTACTGCCCACCTGGAATCCTGAAACGCCCACTAGTGGGCGGAAGGGACCAGGTTGACGACCCATGCTCTAATCAATGCTTTATGGTAAACGGTGAAATGCTTTAAATGACAATCTTTACTTTAGGAGAATCTCATTCAAACAGCTTGGAGTGTGGCTGAATTATTTCTGTATTACTATCCCTCTGGCGTTACATTCCCCATTATTAACTGCACACACTGAGGGACAGTTTATTCCCATTGAGGCACTAAAACAACTTCATCTAGATAAAGTTGTTATTTTGCCAAGATGCCCACAGGGGCACTCTTACCTTCAGGGGTTAAATGTTCTCGAACGGTTTAACTGTGAAGTTGCCTGAAGCAGTGATCACAGCTCCCACCAACATGGCTTCCAGCTTCTGAAATTACAGTTTTAGAAAGCGCAAAGTGCGGCTGGGAAGCTGACACTCTCAGCCAATCATTGATCCCCGTTCACTAAACTGGCTTGCAAAGAATGTACCAGTTCTATGAATGGGGAGTCACTGATTGACAGAAAGCGTCAGCTGACCACTCTCATCCAGTCAGTGACGACCTTTTCCGGCGGCACTTCGCGCTTCCTGAAACTGAAATAGATTAAGTTGTTTTGGTGCCTGGAGTGTTCCTTTAAACTTCAGTTTACAGAGCAGGATATAAAAACTGTAAAGTAAATTACATCTGATTTCATGCAGACTGTGCCTGTCATAGCCAGGGAAGGTGTGGCTAGGGCTGCAGAAACAAAAGTGATTTAACTCCTATGTGGCAGTAAATTACTTTGTTAAGCTAAAGTTGTTTTGGGGACAATAGTGTATGACAAGGTGGCGGGGTCAGCCGCGACCAACCCGTGCGGCACCGAAAAAAGGTGAGTAATCACATTTCTAACTGGAAGTAAGGGGGGCGGTGGGCTGGTAGCCTAATAGCTATTTAGACCTATAGTGTCAAGAATGTATTCACCATAGTGTTCCTTAAAGCTATAGAGGGATACAGACTAGCAGTCATTGTGTGTACCAGTGTAAGCAGAAGGTCTATCTGATTCTGCTCAGTTCTCACCACCTACCACCAGAACAACCTCCTCCACTAACACAAACCTTGGGCAGGAAGGGTGAAACCACTGCAATGAAAGGCATTTTAAAAAAAGAGTATCAGCGGCTACCTCCCACACCAAGGCCACCCTTAGGCAGAGCAGGGGGATGTTGAGGATAGTACTGTTAGTCAACAGAGGCCAGTTGGGAAGTCAAATTCTTCATCATCCCAGAGACATCTCCAGTCCAGTCAAAACAGCAGGCTAGCAAAATTACCCACCTGATTCCTAGGTGATCATCATTTACGCAGCTGGTACAGGCCCTTGCTCCAGAATATGTATTCCCCTCATGATCCACTGTCAGCAGATAAATAATCCCATCACTGTACCATTCTTGCATGGTAGTATTGAAGGAGCAGCTGGCTAAGGCTGTTGGTAATTAATGCACCACAGATTTTTGGAGTGTGCCTACTGGTCAGCATGTCTTCCTCCCCTTGATGGCACACTAGTGGCATCTCAGGGTGCACATTTCCACCATGGGGTAAAGGCTAGCCAACACTTGAGGCAGGAACAAGACAAAACAGAGCTTCCCACACAGCAGCTACTAAAAGATGTCAGCACGCAGTGGAATGTCACTTTAGACATGGTGGAAGGAATTTTGGAATAGCATAGTCTATCTTCCAATCAGTACATTGCAATAGACATTGCTTACCTAGATTTCAGTAAGGCTTTTGACACTGTTGCACATAGAAGTCTGACAGGCAACAGAGGGTTGTAGCCAATGGAGTATATTCGAAGCTTGGACTTGTCACCAGTGGGGTACCTCAGAGATCTGTACTTGGACCCATTCTCTTTAATATTTTTATTAGTGATATTGCAGAAGGTCTTGATGGTAAGGTATGTCTTTTTGCTGATGATACTAAGATATGTAACAGGGTTGATGTTCCAGGAGGGATAAGTCAGTAGCGTCACTAGGGTTGGTTTCATCCAGTGCAGTAATTCACGGTGTCACCCCAACCCCCTTAATCATGTGGGTTTTTTTTGTTTGGTTTTTTACTAATGTAACTTGTAAATCATAACTCCCATCAGGGCCGGTGCAAGGATTTTTGCCGCCCTAGGCAAACAAAAATCGGCCACCCCCTCATATGCCCTGCCCACCATGTGACATCACAGTGCCCCATCCATATGATTTGCCATGTGAGTTTACGCCAGTGCTGCACACAGTGTCTTTTCTCTGAAAAGGCAGTGTGTTTACATTAAAAAAGTCTGCAGGAACAGGCTATTGAAACCAGAACCACTGCATCAAGCTGTAGTGGTTCTGGTGACTATAGTGTCCCTTTAATGTAAATTAGAGATTAGTGAGACTACTACCATCAGATGAGAACAAGAGGTTGATGAGGGGCTCAGGCTGCAATCTGGTTCCACTGGTCAGGTGTAGAACAGGCTCTCTGGAGGCTGTTTGTAACTCGGCTCACAAAAATCAACAAACAGGAAGTAGCTCCATTTTTTGAGACCCCTTACACAGCTCAAAGTCTGGGCCCCCAGGGGCTGACCGTGAGTATGCCTACAAGGCCCGCCCATAAGCAGGGCCGGACTGGGAATTAAAAGCAGCCCTGGAAAAAAATATTTACCAGCCCCATAATGCGTCGCGCCAGCATAGTGTGCAGATACAGAGTTAGAAAAGAAAACTTAAAATTAAAAAATATTACTCCAACGTAAAAAGCGCACTCATAGGCTTCAAAATAAACAAAAGTGCAGATTTATTTTAATCAGACGTGCCTTTGCATGTAATCAATGTTTCAGTCCAGCTACCTTGACATATTAAGGAAAGCTTGTTAATGGGACTGAAATGGTGAATGTATGTAGGGCACAACTGTAAAAAATGTTTATTTTGAAGTCCTGTGGGTGTGCTCTTCACTTTAAATATGTTATTGTGCTGGAGTATGCACCTAGCAACAAGACTGGGCCAATATCTGCTCATCACATATGATACATATTAATGAATGCATATATAAATGTACATTAATATGTGTAAATATAATAGTTATATATATATATATATATATATATATATATATATATATATAACGAATATACACATTAATATACATGTCATATACCAGTGACGGATCCAGAGCCTGAACCCGGGAGGGGCACGTGTAGATTATTTAAAGAAATATTTCATGCACAATAACCACTACTCCTCTGTGTAGTGGTTATGGTGCCAGGAGTGTCTGCACCCCCTCCCAGAGTAAGTAGTCAAACCGTTTAAGAACAGTTTGACAACTTACCTGGAGTCTGCTGGGATATGGGGCTGTAGTAGGGTATAGGAGCAGTGGTGCAATGTGTGAGGGGTGCAATGTGTGTGAAAGGTTCAGTGTGTGAATGTGTATGTGTGTGTGTGGGCAGTGTGTATGGGGCTAGAGTTCACCCTCATGAGAGCCGGAGCATTGCCCCGGGTCCTCTCTTTCTCCCCCTCACTGTTCCTCTGTGTCAATGTCTCCCCTCTCCTTCCCAGTCTCTCTCTTCCCCCTCTGCCTCTTTCTTCCCCTCCCCTTGTGTGTCTCTCTCATTTCTCCCTCTGTCTCTCTCTTCCCCCTCTGCCTCTTTCACCCCCTTTCCCCGTGTCTCTCCCTCCCCCCATCTCTCTCCCTCCCCCCTTTCCCTGTGTCTCTCCCCCCCCCTTTTACCTTAGAGAAGTCAGAGGGGGCTGGCCGGGTTCTTGGGTGGAGCCGCCGGGCCGGGTGGCAGCTTCCCCAGTCCGGCGGCCCTGCTCCTGTCACTGGCTGCTGATGGAGGAGGAGCCTGTCTCTGTACCATGCTCCCTCGCGGTTCCTGTGCTGGGAATTATGGGAACCGCGAGGGAGCATGGTACAGAGACAGGCTCTTCCTCCATCAGCCATCAGCAGCCACAGCAGCCAGTGACAGGAGCAGGGCCACCGGACTGGGGAAGCTGCCACCCGGCCCAGCGGGTCCAGCCAGGAACCCGGCCGGCTCCCTCTGAGTGCCACCGGACCGGCCACCTGGTGGCACCTATGTGGCAGCCCCCCCTCCCCTCGCCAATACATTACAGCCCCCCTCCCCCAATACATTACTGCCCTCCCTCCCCTCCCCCAATACATTACAGCCCCCCTCCTCTCCCCCAATACATTACTGCCCCCCACCCCCAATACATTACTGTTCCCCTCCCCTCCCAAAATACATTACTGATCCCCCTTCCCCAATACA